AAAGGAAAGGAAAGGAAAGGAAAGGAAAGGAAAGGAAAGGAAAGGAAAGGAAAGGAAAGGAAAGGAGGAAAGGAAAGGAAAGGAAAGGAAAGGAAAGGAAAAAACACTTTTTCTTGTACTGTTCCACACACACCCCCAGGTGGGATTGAGATATGTTCTAGTGCTTAATTGAGTTGTTGACTCACTAAAAAAATATCTGATGATGGACTTGCCTCCCCTCCCCTCTTTGTAATTTGGGAAATTTATCTACTGGATCACTTTTTTCAGTGTCCTGCTGAAAATACATGGGTCAAGATGAACCTATTCAGTTTTGTTTTTTTAAATAATCTTTTATTATAAGTTTTAAAGAGAACATAAAAATTAACACAAAAAAAGAAAAGACAAAAGAAGAAAAGACAAAAGTGCAGGAAAAATAAAGAAATAGAAAGAAGCAGATTCTGGTTTCCTTTGCAGCAAATTCAAGCAAGGTTTGAAAGTTATCTCCTCAATACAATTAAAGAGTCACTTTTTTATTGTCTATTTTTTAAAAAAAATCATGGAAACCACAAGTGACGTGCATTTTTTCCTGTTTCATGCAAAAAGTCTATAAGGGGTTTCCAGTCAGCCATAAAAGTAGGTACTGGTTTTTCTCCAATGAAAGAGGTTAATTTAGCCATCTCCACAATCTCTTCCATCATCTTCATAAACTCTTCCTCCATTTGGGGTGATATTGAACCTTTCTATTGTTCAGCATGGAAGAGCCTTGTTGCAGTTGTCATGTACCAAAACAAGGTTCCTTTGCCAAGTTACCTGTCCCTCAGTCCCCAAAGAAAACACTCTGGTTTCAATTCAAGAGAGACAATCGGAGTTTAAGAATCACCAGCCTCTTGCCCATTGTGGGGAAGGTACTGGGTCACCTTCTAAGGATTCAGAAAACAGCAGCTCACGTGAGAGGCCAGTTTCCAGGCCAGTTCCATGCCTGGAAGAGGAAGTTGTGACTAACATCCTAGAATAATTGCTCAGGGATACTCTTTTATTATTATTATTATAAATTTTTATTTTAAACACATAAGCACATCAACAAAAACAAACACATAACTTAAAAACAACATAGGAACAATAAGTTCCATCNCCCGTCTTTAGTAGCTCAGTTAATGGTAGGGCAATTTCAGCAAAAGTCGGGATGAACTCCCTATAAAAATTCGCAAATCCAAAGAAGCTTTGTAGTTGTTTGCGAGTACTTAGAGGTTTCCAATCCAACACCACTTTTACTTTTCCTGGATCCATTTCTACTCCTTTGTTGGAAATACGATACCCCAGGTAATCTAGCGAGGTCTTGTGGAACTCACACTTTGACAATTTTGCGTACAGTTTGGCAGCTAGAACTTTTTTCAGGACTTTCTGCACCAGTTTCACATGTTCTTCTAGGGTCTCAGAGAAAATCAAGATGTCATCTAAATAAATGAGTACTCCACAGTACAGGTGGTTATGTAGCACTTCATTTATGTACTGCATGAAGACTGTGGGTGCTCCTTGTAGCCCAAAAGGCATGACTTTGTACTGGAAGCTTCCCAGGGGAGTGTTAAATGTGGTTTTCCATTCATCCCCTTTTCGTATTCGTATGCGGTAATATGCCTCTCTCAAGTCCAGCTTGGTGAAGATTTTGCCTTTAGCAAAGTGGTTCAACATATCCTTCATGAAGGGGAGGGGATAGGTGTTTTTTTGGAATACTGCATTCAAGGCTCGCAGATCTACACAGAGGCGAACTCTGCCATCTTTTCTCTGAAGAGCACTGAGGCCGCTACTTTTGACTTTGCTGGTTCAAAAAAACCATTTTTTAAATTAGTGTTGATGTACTTTCTCAGTTCAGTCATCTCCTTGGGAGTCATAGTGTACATTTTTGGCTTTGGTAAGGCTACCCCAGGTTTGAAGTCTATTGCACAATCTGTGGGGTGGTGAGGTGGAAGGTAGTTTCAATCTTCCTCATTGAAGACCTCCACCAAGTCCCAGTAGATCTTTGGGACTCGTTGGATCCCCGGAGGTTTGGTGTCTGCTGCGGGGGCTGCAGGTTCTGGATGGTTTGGGCTGTTGGTTCTAATCGTTCCTGGGCGGCCTTTAGGCTCCACGGTTGGTAATGGCCCAAAATCAATGATCAATTTTCTAACACCATCCTCCCACTTGATAGTAGGTGCCCACTTGTCCAACCATGCAAGTCCCAAGATAATTGACTCCTGCATTTTTGGGGCTACAATGAATCTGATGAACTCACAGTGTCAGCCTATCTTCAACTTTACTAATTCAGTTATCTTTGTGGCCGGGGCATTCCCAATTAGGGTTCCATCTACTTGCTCGAACCGAATAGGT